ACGCATACACAAACATACAAATCTCTCTCTTACACACACACACACACACACTATCTCTCTCTCTCTCTCTCTCTTTCTCTCTCTCTCTCTCTCTCTCTCTCTCTCTCTCTCTCTCTCTCTCTCTCTCTCTCTCTCTATATATATATATATATATATATATATATATATATGTATGAACCGTATTCATGTTGACAAATGTAGAAAAGGTATGAATGAGAATGGATATCTTCACAATACAAGAGATGTATTTAATCGGTTTCGATTATATCTTCATCAGAAATACATACATCAAAGGAATTACACAGTATATATATATCAGACATGAGCTGACAAACCACCTGACGACTGTGACTTTCCGCACGTTGTTCGAACGTCATAGTCGTTAGGTGGTTTGTCAGCTCATGTCTGATATATATATATATATACTCTGTAATTCCTTTGATGCATGTATTTCTGACGAAGATATAATCGAAACCGATCAAATACATCTCTTGTATTGTGAAGATATCCATTCTCATTTATACCTTTTCTACACACACACACACATACACACACACACACATATATATATATATAGTATAAGCATAGGGGGATATAAAGACGGACAGTATCTGCACAAATACAAAGCCACACTCGAATGCCTTACCTTGAACCTTTAGCTCCATGTTATGCGTGTGGCTTCCATAAGCGTTAGTGGCCGTGCAAGCGATCACAGCTGAGTCCTGGGGAGTTACGTTGGTCACCCTCACCTCCGCTCTCACCCCTCCTGCAGGACTGCCCTTCCCTACGCTCCTGTCGGGGTCTGAGTCTTCTACCACTTCGACGCTGTATCTGCAAGAGAGAGGAGGTCGAGGTTATGGTTGTTGTGCGGATTACTTGGTGGTTTGTGTGTGTTTTTCGTTTATGTATGTGTGCGTGTATGTATGCATACTTGTATGTATATATATATATATATATATATATATATATATATATATATATATATATATATATATATGTATGTATGTATGTATATATGTATATATATATTTATATATATATATATATATATATATATATATATATATATATATATATATATATATATATATATAGTATAAGCATAGGGATATAAAGACGGACAGTATCTGCACAAATGCAAAGCCACACTCGAACGCCTTACCTTGAACCTTTAGCTCCATGTTATGCGTGTGGCTTCCATAAGCGTTAGTGGCCGTGCAGGCGATCACAGCTGAGTCCTGGGGAGTTACGTTGGTCACCCTCACCTCCGCCCTCACCCCTCCTGCAGGACTGCCCTTCCCTACGCTCCTGTCGGGGTCTGAGTCTTCTACCACTTCGACGCTGTATCTGCAAGAGAGAGGAGGTCGAGGTTATGGTTGTTGTGCGGATTACTTGGTGGTTTGTGTGTGTTTTTCGTTTATGTATGTGTGCGTGTATGTATGCATACTTGTATATATATATATATATATATATATATATATATATATATATATATATATATATATATATATATATATATATATATATATATGTATGTATGTATGCATATATGTATATATATATGTGTGTATGTGTGTGTGTATGTATGTGTGTGTGTGTGTTTGTGTGTGTGTGTATGTGTGTGTGTGTGTACATATGTAAGTACAGTATTGTTGTAGTGGTCCAAACTTCTAATTTCCAAAGATGGTCTCATATTCTTATTTTTACCAGCACCGCTGATTTTTCAATATAATTTCCGAAGTAAGCAATATCTAAAAGCTGAAAGAAGATGCGTGGTTACTCAAGTCTTCCTCCTTGCCTAGATAAAACTACACCTGATTATAAAAACACACAAAAACAAATAACACATGACAATAATCCTTCACTGCTGTTTAAAAACGAAAGCTTTTATCACTTAAAAATAAAAAATAAAAATCCTGTTAGATATATGTTTTGAGCAAAATACTTATGCTTCCTGTGTTTTTCCTACATATGTCAAAAATAATACTTATTTGTGTTGTAGACATTAATATCTTCACAATATATTTATCGATATGTGAATGTCTATATCTATATGTATCTATTTCTTCTATTAATATCTGTCTATATTTCTATTTATTTTCCTCTATATCTACATTTTTATTTTCATATATCTGTATCTATATATCTCTAACTATCTCTAACTATCTATATCTATATAACTATAAATATGCACTTAGGAAAAGAAATACATTGCTTAACCTATATCTATCTATCAGTCTACATATATATTTATCAATCTATATTGATATATATATATTATATGTATGCATATATTATATATACTATCTCTCATTTATCATTATACATATAATTTTATTTTTCATCATTACTTGTTATAACGTTTATTATTTTCAACATATAAAAACATCGCTTTGTGGTTCCATTTACGTTATGCATTTCCTTGTAAAGATATTACCAAAGTTACTTTTTCCCTGACAGAGGAATTACATTTTCACGTTGGCTGTAAAAGGGCCGACATATTGAAACACAAATAAATACGACTAAATGCAAAAATATGTGAAAAAACTTGAATTGATAAGGATAATAAGAATAACATATTGATGAACATTTAGAAGATGATAATAATGATAATGGTTGTGACTGTTATAAAGATGATCATAACAAAAAAAAAAAATAAAATGATATGATAATGATAATAGTGTGAGGATAATATTATAACAATAATAACAATTATGATGACAATGACGCTAAATATAGCAATAGTAATAAAGATAATGAAATAAATAATATTAGTGATAATGATGTCGATAATTGACACAATGAAAATTATAGTATGATAATGATAATAAAGATAATGATGAAGATAATGATGATAATGACAATGATAATTATGATGATAATGATAATGATAATAATAATAATGGTAATACTGATAAGTATAAGGGTAACAATAATAGTATAAAAAATAACAATGATAATAATAATAGTAATAATAATAATAATAATAATAATAATAATAATAATAATAATAACGATAATGATAATGATTTTGATAGAAATAGCAATAGTAATAATGATAAATATAATGGTGATAATAATGATGATAATGGTAATAGTAATGATAAAGATAACAATGATAATGATGATGATAATGATAATAACAATAACATTAATGATAATAAGGATAACAACAGCAACGACAATAAAAAGTAATAGCAACAGCAAGGAAAATGATATTATTAATAATGATGATAATAACAATAAAAATGATAATAATGAAAAATGACTAATAATGATAATGATAATAGTAATGATAATAATAATAATAATACTAATACTAATAATTATTATTATTATCATTATCACCATTATAATAATAACAATAATGATTACGAAAATCAATAGTAATATTAATATCATATTAATAATATGATAATGCAAGTGCTTGATTGTGAATCAGTATCTATCTGCGTTTGTTTATGACTGTTTGTGTGTTTATTTCGATATCCATGTGCATGTGTATATATACGAACATATAAGTTATACAGCAGTGCCTCTGAAACTGCCTATCCTCTCATACATATTACACTATCTATGCATTCATCATTCCCAGTGGGCGAATTCGATGTTAAAATTCAAACGCTCCAGCCTTTGTAGCTTGTAAATCCAGGAACCATCGCCATGACGGAAAAAATGTATACGATATACTGGATAAAACCAAGTCAAAGTATAAAGGTAAGCGGAGAGAGAGAGAGAGAGAGAGAGAGAGAGAGAGAGAGAGAGAGAGAGAGAGAGAGAGAGAGAGAGAGAGAGAGAGAGAGAGAGAGAGAGAGAGAGAGTGGGAGGAGATGGGAGAGATGGGAGAGAAATAGAGAGTTTTGGATAATAATAGTAGTAGTAATAGTAGTAATGATAATGATAATGATGAAATAAGGATAGTGATAATATCGGTAATGATAATGATAATAATATCAATAATAATAGTAGTAGTAGTAATAATAATAATAATAATAATAATAATAATAATAATAATAATAATAATAATAATAATAATAATAATAATAGCAACAACAATAATAATAATAATAATAATTAAAACGGTAACAGTAATGATAATGATAACAATAGCAATATTAAAAACAACAGTAATGATTTTGGCAATATGATAATAATTTAGAGGATAATGATAATGATAATAATAATAATAATGATAATAATAATAACAATGGCAATAATAATAATAATAACAAAAATAATAATAATTATAACAATAATAATAATAACAATAATAACAACAGTAATTATGATAATAATAATTAGGATGATGATGACAACAGCAACAATAATAACAACAATAATAATGATAATAATGATAATAATAACAATAATAATAATAATAATAATAATAATAATAATAATAATAATAATAATAATAATAATAATTACATACACACACACACAAACATCCGTATATACGTATACATTGCATCCATAAATAATTCTCCGACCCCTGTTTCCTCTTTGTTAGAAGGGGTATTGAAAATTGCAACTCTTGGCGACATTTGCAAGAATATTCGCCGCACATAAGCAAAACATTTTACGCGTCTGAGCCCAGTTCTTATCAGCATCTCCCTCTCTGAATTCTGTTTATCGGAGGGAATACAGACGACTGAGGGAGGCAGGAAGGGATGGGGGGGGAGGAGGGAGGGGAGAGAGGGAGGGAAGGAGGAAGGGAGGGAGGGAGGGAGGGTAGAGGTGGGAGGGAGGGAGAGGAGGGAAGGAGGGAAGGGAGGGAGGGAGGGAAGAGGTGGGAGGAAGGGATGGGGAAGGAGAGGGAGGGAGGGAGGGAGGGAGGGAAGAGAGGGAGGGAGAGGTGGAAGGGAGGGAGGGAGGGAGAGAGGAGGGAGGGAGGAGGGAGGGAGGGAGAGGTGGGAGGGAGAGGGAGGGAGGGAGGGAGGGAGGGTAGAGGTGGGTGGGTGGGAGGGAGGGGAGAGAGGGAGAGGAGGGAGGGAGTGAGGGGGAGCGAAATAGACAAATTCCATTCCGTGAAAATCTCATAAGATCTTTTCGGGTTTTCCACCTTTCCTTTCTTAGCCCCGCCCCCTTACCTCCTTCCTCCTCTTCCTCCTCCTCCTCCTCTTCCTACTCCTCCTCCTCCTCCTCCTCCTCCTGCTCCTCTTCTTGCTTGTATGTCCTTTCTTTCCTTCTTCCTTTTCCTCCTCTACTTCTGACTCAACTCTCTCTCCTTCTTCCTTCTCCTTCTTTTCCTCCTCTTCCTCCTCCTCTCTGTATTTTCTCTCTCCATCCTCCTCTTCCTCTCTCTTTCTTCCCCTTTGTCATTTTTTCCTCCTTTTACTCATCTCTGTACATTCTTCGCCTTGTATCATCTAACCTCTTCCTTTCTTCTTCTTCTTCTCCTCTCTTCCTCCTACTCCTCTTTCTTTTTTCTCAACTCTCCTCTTTCTCCTTCCTTGCCTTCTACCCCTTCTTTCTCCCAACCTTCCCATTCTTCTGCACTATCCCTATCCCTCCCTTTTTCTCTAATTCTTCTATCTTTTCCCATCCCTCTCCCCCTTACCTTCTTCTTCCTTCCCCCTCCCCTCCCCCCTCCCCTAACCCTCTCCCTTCCCCAAGACAGCTAAAGACTTCAGAAAAATGCGAGAGACGTGGAGGTATTATCTCCCTCCCCCCCCCTTCCCCTCCTTCTAGCCCCTACCCCTCTTCCCCTCCCTCATCTTCTTCTGTCTTCTCCTCCTCTTCTCCTTCTCTCTCTCCTTTTCCAATTTTATTTTTGTGGAGTTTCGTTCCCGTCTTTAATATATTTTTGTTATTGCATTATTGTCTTACTTGGTTTATATTTCATTCTCTTGTCATTATTTCTTTTATTTCTCACTTGTCATATCCTTATCTTCCTTTTTTTCTATTCTTGCTTTTCTCTTTCCTTTCTTCATCCATTTCTCTTCCCTTCCCTTCTCCCCTCTCCCCAATCCCGTCCTCTCCTTCACACTTCCCACTCCCCACTTCTCTCCCTCCCTCCCTCCTCCTTTTATCTTGTTTTATTCTATTCTCCATCCCCTCTTCCCCCCCCCCTCCTCCTTCTAATTTTTATCCTGTCTTCTCTTTCGCCTTACCTCTCATCCCCTTCTCTTCCCTCACACCATTTACCCCCACTTGTTTATCTACGTTTTTTTATTTATTTATTTTTTATTTCATTCTCTCTTTTCCCTACGATCGCCTTTTTCCAATTCCTCATCTTTTTTTTCACCCATCCCTTCTCCTCACCTACATATGTACCCTCACCTCCCCCTACCTTTCCCCTCACCCCTCATCCACCCACCTACCCCTCCCACTCCCCTCCCCTAATCCTTGTCCCCTCACCCCTCCCCCTCCCCTCCCCTCACCCCTTTCCCTCTCACCCCCCTCACCTTTCCCCTTACCCCTCTTCCCTCTCCCACCTCCACCTTCCCCCCCCTCCCCTCCTCTCCCCCCTCCCCCCCACTCTCCCCTCCTTTCACAACGGGAAAAGATTTGCCACTCCAACAGACCCCGCTTTGCTGATCCGCCCACCGACGTCGACCGCCCACCGACCGACGAGGGGAAAGCGAGGGCGAGGGCGCGGGAGGGGGAGAGGGAGAGGAGGAAAAATAGGGGAGGGAGGGGATGGGGTAGGGAGGTGAGGGATGAAAGGGGAGGGGGGAGAGGCCATGAGAGAAGAGAGAGAGAGAGAGAGAGAGAGAGAAGAGAGAGAGAGAGAGAGAGAGAGAGAGAGAGAGAGAGAGAGAGAGAGAGAGAGAGAGAGAGAGAGAGAGAGAGAGAAGAGAGAGAGAGAGAGAGAGAGAGAGAGAGAGAGAGAGAGAGAGAGAGAGAGAGAGAGAGAGAGAGAGAGAGAGAGAGAGAGAGAGAGAGAGAGAGAGAGAGAGAGAGAGAGAGAGAGAGAGAGAGAAAGAGAAAGAAAGAGGAAGGGAGGGAAGAAGGGAAGAAGAGGGAGGGAAGAGCATGATAAGACGAGAGGGAAAGAACAAGAACAAGAGCACGAAGGAGCGAAAGAGAGAGACAGCAAGAAAAGAATATAAAGAAAGAGGGCGGAAAGGGTTGAATGGGAGAAAGGCAGAGAGGAAAAGAGCGAGGTGGTAAGTGAGAAATAGAAGGACTGAGAGAGTGGAGAGGGAGACAGAAGGGATCGGAAGAGTGCACAGCAACATGCATGCAACAAGATTAACCACCGTGTACAAACCGGAGAGGTAAAGTGGAGATTAAAAAAAAAGGAAAAAGAGGAGAGAGAGAAAAAATATTTTTTTTCTACAAAGTTAGAAAATGGGAGAGAGAAAACACATAAAAAAGACAGAGGAGAGAGGGATAGGTAGATAGATAGATAGAGAGAGATTTTACAGTATCGTTATTTTCATCATAATTCACTGTACACTATACTATTGTGAGAGAGAGAGAGAGAGAGGATATATATATATATATATATATATATATATATATATATATATATATATATATATATATATATAT